GAACAAAGAAAAAACTGAAGGAGCAAAACAGCAGCAGACTCACAGAACCCAAGAATGGACTAACAGTTACCAAAGGGAAAGGGACCAGGGAGGATGGGTGGGAAGGGAGGGATAAGGGGTGGTGGGGAAGAAAGGGGGCATTACAATTAGCATGCATAATGTGGGGGTGGGGACACAGGGAGGGCTGTACAGCACAGAGAGGACAAGTAGTGATTGTACAGCATCTTACTATGCTGATGGACAGTGACTGCAATGGCATATGTGGGGGGAACTTGATGATGGGGGGAGTCTAGTAAACATAATGTTCCTCATGTAATTGTAGATTAGTGATACCAAAATTAAAAAAAAGTGGTATATAGATATAATGGGGTATTATTCAGCCTTATAAAGGAAGGCTTCCACATGTTATAACATGGATGAACCTTAAGGACATTATGTTAATTTAAGTAAAATAAGCTAATCACAAAAGACAGTACTGTATGACTCCACTTATATGTATCTAAAGTAGTCAAATTATAGAAACAGGAAGTAGAACAGGGGTTCCAGGGACTGGGAGAGGGGGAAAAGGGAGTTGTTGTTTAATGGATACAGAGTTCCAGTTTTGCATGAAGAAGAAGTTCTGGAGATCGGTTTCACATGAACATACTTAACACTACAGAGCTGTATGTATACTTAAAAATGGTAAATTTTATGTTTTTTACCTCAATAAAAAATAAAAAAAGGAAACAAAAAAGAAGAAACTGGAAGAATAGTCATGGACTTTACTCTTTGCCTCACATTGACTTACACCACTACTTCAATAGAGGTAAAAAAAAAAAAAGGCAAACAACCTGAATAGACATATCTCCAATGAAGATATACAAATGGCCAACAAGCACATGAAAAGATGCTCAACACCATTTGTCATTAGGGAAATGCAAATCAAAACCACAATGAGGTACCACTTCATAACCTCTAGGGTGGCTATTTTAAAAGAGAGAGAAAATAACAAAATAATAAATGTTGCTCAAGATACGGAGAAATTGGAGCCTTCAAACAAACATCGCTGGTGAGAATGTAAAATGTTGCAGGGGCTGTGAAAGCATTTTGGCAATTCATCCAGGAGTTAAACACAGAATTACCCTATGACTCAGCAATTCCACTCCTGGGTCTACACCCAAAGGAGCTAGAAAACAGGTCCTCAAACATAACTAGCACTATTCACAATATTCAAAAGTTGGAAACAGCCCAAATGTCTATTAATGGATGAATAAATTGTGGTCTATACATATAGTGGAATATTCTATTATAAAAAGGAATGAAATACTGGTGTATATGCTACAACTTCAACCTCAAAAACACTAGGCACAAAGGTCACATATAATTCCATTTTTCTTTACAGGGTAAATAAATCCAGAGACAGAACACAGATTGTGGTTGCCAGAAAGTGTGTGGAATGCAGAACAAATGCTTAATAGAGACAGGGTTTCCTTTTTGGACTGATGAAAATGCTCTGGATCTAGATATAGGTGGTAGTTGTACAACACTGAAAATGTACTAAATGCCACCAAGCTGTTCACTTAAAAATGATTACTTTTATGTTATATCAATTTCACCTTAACAAATTGCACAGGTTTTAAATGCATCATTTACCAACATTCTGTACATTAATATTAAATGATCACACATGAATGTGAAGCAGACCAAAACTCAAAACTGTGATACTTAAGTGGAAGATGGGATGTAATAATCTTGGAAAGTAAAAATATTCTTTGTTTACTTGAAATGCAGGAGGTTTTTTAAAGAAAAAAAAATAATGGAGTAAATATATAATAGACAATAAACGTTGCTTTCTTCAGGGTGGATTGAGTGTGGGCTTCAAATTTAGATCACTTGGGTTCCCATTCCCAATCTCCCAGGAATGACCTGGAGGACTATCAAGAGAACTGTTATTTTACCCACATCTTTGTATACTATTGAGTTGCATCATTGCTGATTGAAGATTTGCTATAACACATTCACTTATTCTCCCTCTGGAGGCTAGTCCATACTATCACTAATACAAGCCAGACCTATTATCATCATTTAACAAACATTTATTGAGAACTTATGTGCCAAGCACTTTGCTACATCCTGAGTATACCCCAGTGTAAAGACATGAGCCCTGGCCTAATTAATCACCTAGTACCGGGTACAGACCATAAGCAACCATGGATGTATCATGAGCAAGTCTTATAAAGGAAAACAGTGCTGTACTAGAGAATAAGCAGAGTGATACCACTTTAGGTAGTGTGCTCAGCAAAGGCTTCTCCTAGGAGGGACATCCAACTTGATAGGCCTGCATGGCATTAACGAATGGCAAAGGTGAGTTTGAGAGACCAGGATAGGGAGTTTGGTAAGTAACTGCAGTAGTAAATAAATGGTACATTTCCAGCAAGGGAGTGATATAATTTGTATTTCAAAATGACTCTAGAGGGAAGATAAAACAGGCAGACTGTTCAGGAGGCAAGGAGGACGGCCTGTACTTGGGTAATCGTGGTTACTGGCTTGCTCTCACGGTGGCTGAGGATGTCATTTTGTGACAGAACAATGCTGACTGCAGGGCGGTTGAGGACAATCAGAAAAGAAATCACTGGGTGTGTTGCTGTGAACCCCTAGAACCAGGGCAGGACTGGGCTTCGGAGTAGAGACAGGAAAGCCCAAGAGAGCTAACTGCGGTCCTGCCTTCCTCCTTTGATACAATCCTATGCCGAGGGTCCGCGACCGAGCTGAAGCTTTGCGCTGGCCCCTGAGAGCGCGGTAAGGATCAGGCAGTGGAGAGTCCAACTTAAGAACTAAACCTGGACAGCCCCGCCAAAGCTCCAATACAGACAGGTACGTCCGGGTCCGAGCAGCTCACCGACTCCTCCTAGCCCACCGCCGATCAGCTTCGCGCCAGGAAGTGCCGCCTACCCAAGCTAACTTCCGCTATCCTCGTCTTCTGCGCATCTCGCGAGAACTGCAAGTGCCTATGAGACCTGGGCTAAGCGGAAGTTGGGTCTCTTTATCGTGGCGTCTTAGAGGCGTTCGGCTGCTTGAGAATGAAGGTAGGAAGTGGTGACGGGTGGTGGACAAGACTTAGCGGAACGTGCATCGAACCCCGGGACACTGCATTGCCGCTCTCCAAAACTCTGGCCCTAGATACAGAAGGATGTGGGGCAGGAGAAAGCTCGCTCTTGTGAGCCCGGAGTTCCTTGGGAAAGCGGATGGCGAGCGATTGCAGCTGGGGCTGCGCCTGGCCGGGAGCGCCATGGTGGATTCCTTGGCGCCCAGCCGGGACTGATAATGACCCTGCTGCCCGGTTGGTGGCCCCTAGGTCAGGCTCCTTGCCCCAGGAGGGGGAAGGACTGCGGAGCGCCCTCCGCCAGTCATTCCGCGAAGCTTGAGGAAAGATGAGTCCTACTTTTAGTGCGGTGTGTGTTCCGCGTTATTACACACCCTTGTGCTTTAGTGAGTAGTCGACATCTCAAATCTTAAAATTGGGGGTGACATGAAAGGCTTTTTGCGAGTGGGATTATTTTTGTAGGTAGTTTTAAGGTTTTCATAAGGCTCCTTTTTCCCGTTTAATCTTAGCTGAACATCTCCTTCCCAGCCACTGGCTGCCAGAAACTCATTGAAGTGGACGATGAACGTAAACTTCGTACCTTTTACGAGAAGCGAATGGCCACAGAAGTTGCTGCCGACGCTCTGGGTGAAGAGTGGAAGGTAAAAGTTGACTACTAAATTGAACTGTTGTAGCTGTTTGGGAGGGTAACGCTTTTGCTAATTGGTGTAGGTAATGGAGATCAGACCCCGGGTTCTGCCTTCTGACCGTGGTTTAGTTACTGCCAGACATCACTACAAAGTAGACGTATCACCTTGTGGGGTTGTGTGAATCAAATGGGAAAATATCCCTCATGTTCTTGCCTGGAAAGCTTATGTTCTCCAAAGGGTATCTTTAAAAGTACCAAGGTTTGTTTCTGATTAATTTGTTGCTTGTTGATATTTTGGTTTCTTAACACGAACTTTTTTCCTCTAGAGCTGTTAATTTTATTAAAAAGGTTAGGAATTTAACTTGATTGAAAGGAATTTGCTGACTGAAACTTGGCAAATGGGAAATACAGGCAAAACTCAGTAACCAGAGAAAACAGTCTACAGGCATAGCTCAGATACGGAGGTTTGGTTCCAGACAGTAGCAATAGAGACTTTCAGATGAATTTTTTGGTTTCTTAGTGCATCTAAAAGTTATGTTTATGCTATACCGCAGTCTATTAAGTGTACAATAGCATTCTGTCTCAAAAAACGAAGTGTGTACCCTAATTAGAAAGTAATTGCTAACCAATGCTAACCATCATTGGAACTTAGTGAGTTGTAATCACTGATCACCATAACATAATGAAAAACAATGAAGTACTGCGAGAATTACCAAAATGTGACACACAGACATGAAGTGAGCAAATACTGTTGAAAAAAATGGCACTGGTAAGAGGTACTTCGTGCAGGGTTGACAAACCTTAAGTTTGTTTAAAAAAAAAAAGTGGTCTCTGTAAAGCACAGTAAAACAAGGTATGCCTGTATTAAGTTTCAAATTGGTCTCAATGAACTGTGCTTCCTAGAATAGAGAGTACTTTGTAGAGGCCACAATCCTTTATTATGTGTCATGTATTCTCCTGCAGGGTTATGTGGTCCGGATAAGTGGTGGGAATGACAAACAAGGTTTCCCCATGAAGCAAGGTGTCTTGACCCATGGCCGTGTCCGCCTTCTATTGAGTAAGGGGCATTCCTGTTACAGACCAAGGAGAACTGGAGAAAGAAAGCGCAAATCTGTTCGGGGCTGCATTGTGGATGCCAATTTAAGTGTTCTCAACTTGGTGATTGTAAAAAAAGGTGAGGCTTCTGTCCTTGAGTTCAGTGTTTGTTGGCATTGATTTAAAGTTGACTGTCTAGGTGCTTTTTCTTTTCAGTATCCGGTTTGAACAATAGACTTGTTTCCTCTACCAATGCATAAACAGTAAGGAAGTTGTTGAATTAAAATGTCTCCTTTCTTAGGGGAGAAGGATATTCCTGGACTCACTGACACTACAGTGCCTCGTCGCCTGGGACCCAAAAGAGCTAGTAGAATCCGCAAACTTTTCAATCTTTCTAAAGAAGATGATGTCCGCCAGTATGTTGTGAGAAAGCCCCTAAACAAGGAAGGTAGGGGACATTGTGTAACTTAGGGTTTGCTTAATTATAGTAATTTTATGCTAGCATTTGTGTGCAAATTAGAAAATAAAATCTGTGCCTACAGCTTTCCTGCTGAGTTTTCAGGAAAACAATGGGAGAGAGGGTAGTAAATAGGTGGTTGGTATTAATTCTTGTTATATCCAGTGCCCTCTGGAATATTATTTTTTCTTGAAAATTCACTTGTAAGTTGTTGATGTACAAGTTCATCCAAAGATAACTTGCCAGACATTAAGTTCATTGCTTTTAGCTTAGGAGTCAAAAGGAGTGATAGAAAATTCTGGGACTATTCTCTCACCTCCACAAACTTCTGCTTTTTCTATGCATGTCAGAGGTTCTAATTATTTTTGTTAAGTCATTCACTAAAGAAAGTCATGCTTTCATTAACTGAACTTTAACTTCAGGCCGTTTTCTTCATCTCTGGGATGTATATAGTAATAGTAAGAGTTGGAATTTGTATATAGAGAATATATGTAGAAAGGTTCTTTATTCAAAATACAATAGAGTGGGTGTTTGGGATTTCGGAGTTTTACATTTTAAGGGGGTATGTAGGTCTATTTAGTAGGCATTATATTTAAGGGGGTATGTAGGTATATTTAGTAGGCATTATAATCCACCACTGAGGTCTGTGGCAGGATTACTCTAACATTACTATTTCTATAAGGAAATGCGAGTATTTACATGAAATGAAGTAACATGTCAGTTCAGGTTGGGTTTCTAGTTTTCAGGACTACTGGTTTTAAACCTGTACTTGGTATATACTGTAAGTGCTCACTGATCACTCATACAAATATGTGGACACCTGTGGTGTGCCAGATGCTGTTTTAAGTGTTGAGGATATAGTATATCCTCATGAAGTGTGCAGTTTAAAAAAGTATTGGCAGATACAAGGTAGCTCATAATCACACCCTTGAAAATGCCATCGGTGTAGTAGTGTGCTAGTTGACAGGTGTTTGTAAGATGGTTCTTGTACCTTTATAATAAAGGAGTCGCTTACTTGACTTCTAGTAGAACCTGAACAATTGAGCACTTACTGTTAGAATATTTACTTTAGAATGTGTAAGGGCATTTAATACTCCCACAAGTATCCACAAACTAAAATAAATATCTGAAAAGACTTAACACTGCAAAGGGGATTCTATAGGCAATAGGACTTCAGGTTATAAATCAGGATAAATGAAGGTACTCTGTAAACATGCATTTTAATGTTAATGGTTTCATTCCCACATTGGCAGGATCTATCTTGGAAATACAGATTCAAGCATAAATGAGACTACAGAGGACAGTGATGTGGATACTAAAACTAAGATATTTAAATACATATTAATTATATTAAATATAGGTGTCTAAGTGGTTTACTTAAGTTTTCACAGGCAAGTCAAACATGCACAATTAATACTGTTTTTAAAAAATGCTCTTGTGTCTTACTGTACAAAGTTATGTGATACTATACCAACAATCTGGAAGGGAAATCATAGTGAGTAGAAAAAAAGGTATGACTTCATTGTTAAGCAGAGTAACCTAATGTATGTACTAATGGAAAACATGGCACCTAGTAAAGTTAGCCTGGTCATTTTTCAGGACTTCTCATCTTTCCTTACGTTTTCATAGTATTTAGCCTATTTTGGGTTTTTTTTGATAAGCTGGTGGTAGGTATTAAAAGTTATTGAATATTCAGATTTCACTTAAATGGCTTTCTACAAGTAAGTTTTCAAGGGTAATACTAAATTAAGTTTGCATCATCTAATGTTTTAAAAATGTAAATATAGACCCTAATGAATAAGGATGTTCCTTATATCCTCAACACTTAAAACAGCATCTGGCACACCACAGGTGTCCACATATTTTATTTGTATGAGTGATCGGTGAGCACTTACAGTATATACCAAGTACAGGTTTAAAACCAGTAGTCGTGAAAACTAAAAACCCAACCTGAACTGAAGTGACTGAGTCACTAAATGACTTTTTAGGTAAGAAACCTAGGACCAAAGCGCCCAAGATTCAGCGTCTTGTTACTCCACGTGTCCTGCAACACAAACGGCGGCGTATTGCTCTGAAGAAACAGCGTACCAAGAAAAATAAGGAAGAGGCTGCAGAATATGCTAAACTTCTGGCCAAGAGAATGAAGGTAAGTCTAAGGTGTTTTGGGTAGTGTGGTTTAGGCCTGGCTTTGAATTTTTAACCAAGTCAAGCTCTAATTGTGCTCTTCTGTTTTGCTTAGGAGGCCAAAGAAAAACGCCAGGAACAAATTGCCAAGAGACGGAGGCTGTCCTCTCTGAGAGCTTCTACATCTAAGTCTGAATCCAGTCAAAAATGAGATTTTTTTTTTTGAGAAATAAATAAGATCAGACATGGTATCTGCTTTATTGACTTTTCATTGCTACAAACTTAAATGAATGGAAACAAACTTAGGTCATAGAAAAGGTTGGGGTGGATGTGATGGTGCATAAAGTGTGCAGGAGCTAGGTGAAAGTGATAACCTTCAAGTTCAGCAAGTGAGATGGCCAGAATAAGGAGGGGTGTTTTTTGTTTGTTTTTGAGAGTGGTGGGTGGCTTAGAAAAGGGTTCTTGTAGCATAAGATGTATTGCCTTTTCAGCCAGGCCATGGCACAATTTAGGGGAAATAAAGGACTAGGACCATTAATCTTCTATGCACTTTATTTTAAAGAATACATTTTTTTCTTTAAAAATCTGTACATAATACATAAAAAGTGCTGTTGTCATGTCATATATTAAAAAAACTTGTTAAAAGCATAGTTAATGATAGCATTTTAAAAAGGTTCAAAAGCTTTTAAAACCACTACAAACTTCATTAACATCCTTTCAGTTCTATTGAGTTCATGCTTTTTTGTTTCACTCTGAAAAGTTGACTGCCTATTTAAGAAACGTCATCAATGAAGGATGCAAAATAGTATGTTTTTTCTCATGTACTATGTCTAGTTTCTATAGAAACTGCAGTTAAAATCAACCTTTGTTACAACCTTCATAGTCTAGAAGGGTATTAAAAAGGCACATTGGGATGTTAAGGGTGAAGGAGCTGCTGCTTTGCTAGTAGAGTGTGTTTTAAACAAAGGTGAGTAAAATTTTCAAATAGTTTTAACGTAAAGACTGAAGCAGTATTTCATAATGTAAATTTGTTAAAATGGTATATTGTGATTTAGTAGTTTGGGGCCCTAGGTCTTCATTACTAGTAAGTCCCCAGATGAGGCCAGTAACCAGTCCTTGACTGTAAAGATCCCCACTGCTCTTAATATGTGGTATTAACAGTTTTGGCATTGTGAATTGAACTTAAAAAGGAAAATGTAGCATTTTAAAAAGATACCCAAAACAAAAAGGAATGACATACTATAGTTATAGGGGGTAACTTTAAGGACATGTATAGCCCAGGATCTATTAACCAGTATCTGGTTGAGGTAATGCACAAATCGAGAACCATCCTGCTTCTTGGTTTTAAGGAGTGACTCATTAAAGTAGGCAAATAACTGCCCAGTCTAGACTCGTCTAAGTCCTGAATTCTAGATTTAAGATTGAGAACTTTTTAAAACAGTAACAATCTTGTATTGCAAAAATAATGTTCAATCCTGTGTGGGCAACAGCTGAATATCACAATGGCACGGGCATCTTAACAATCACTAGTTAACCATGCAGGTTGCTATAATCAACTTACAAATTGCAGCCAGTTTTAAATCAATACCCAAAACCAGTACAAACAAACAACAATCTGAACTTACTCGAGAGCTTGTTTTCAGAAGTTACGAGCATTTAGGTTACATTCGGTGCCATAAGTCATTCTAGACATTGCTAAATCTTTCTATACGTGATTTAGTAACAAGGTTTCTCACCCCTGCCACTAAATTTTTAGTGCCCTTACTGTGGTAGTTGCTAGAAAGGGCCTTAAAGCTGTTTTAACACACACCCCTATTTCTAAATGACAGCAACAGGCTAAAAGGTTTCCATTACACAATGGCAAAGTTTAATAAGTTACTAGGAAATTTAGAATCGATACAGTATTAGCCAACATTAAAGTTCACTACAAGTTTTCCTTTTAGTAGGAAGTGCTTTGGTAAGTAAGTTCCAAGTTAAAACTAGTGAAGAAATGAAAAAATATTGGAATTCTAAGCATCACAAAGGGTTTAATTTACACATTTCAGAAGCCTTAAAGTAACAGACAAGCACAGGAAACATTTTATTCCACCACAAAGTTTTTATATGCAAGGTAATTTGAAACTTTGTTGGGACAGTAAGTGGTAAGTATTAAGAGTAAACCAAGTCTTAAGTTGCAAAAATATATACTCTTGAGACAGTGCAAATGATCCATTCAACATGAGAATACATAATTTCTGACAAGCATTTTCACAATAAATTGAAACAAGATCTCCCCGTATGTCAGATTAACCCTGAAATGTTTAAAGACTAGTACAGTAACAATCTGCAAAGATTACACCAAGTGGAAGGGATTTGTGCTGTTAACTGTACCACCTGGAAATTTTTCCAACTGATTTAATCATCTGCATAATTACTGAAAAGCACATGCAGAGAATTAAGGCAGATATACTGGTCCTAAGGGAGTGTAAGTGTCAGAGTGAGGCATGTGAGGTCATGATTTTCTTGAACCTACAGCTACAAGCTCAATAAAGTTTTAAGACAATTGATTCTTCCTTTAAAAATATTTACAAATACACAAATAATAAGCATACAGATCTAAATTACAAAGATAGAAAATTTGTGTGCAGTGCAAGTTTATCCCACAGGTTTTTAAAAGTGGCCAATGGCAGCAATTTATATGCCTGAACAATTTCAGGTCCAAAGGCAATATATATCAGCATTTTAGACATGTTCTAATCTTGTGAGTTACAAAGCTGATTTAACTTGATTTACACACTTGGATTTATGTGATTGAGCATTTATTTCCTATTAAAGCTGTTGCAAATTAACATAGTAATAGGAAGTGGACCAAAGGAAATAACTGGATATTTAAGATACAATCCATTGAGGAAGATAATTCATAACATGAAGTATAAAGACAATTAGGCAAGGCAGTTGTCATCAGACTTAAGGTAACTTTTAGATTAATGACTACAGGTGAGTATAGGTATAGTCATTTATTTAATAGTTGGAGACCCCTTTCAGGAAACTATTGCAACATGCAATTTTAATCTTAATAAATATGGCTGTATGTACACATACCTATGCAGCCACACATATATACACACATAAACAAATAGTTGTTTTTAATGAGAAATTTCATTCATTTTGAGGTTAGGCAAGTTTACATTAATTTGCCATTCCCTAAACTTAATAGTTTCAAATAAAATGACAATGAATGAATATGGTTTCCTGTTAGCAAACTACTACAAATACCAAGAAATCCAAAAATAATTTTAAGCAGAGATAAACAGTTAAGAATTTGAAAATCTTAAAACATTAATAGACACTGGGTCATTTCAGTGGCATTTTAACATTTTGAGATGATTCAGGATGAATTATATATTGTCCCAAGAGTTCCTTGACCTTGAATGTTACTGAGTCTATCCCCCCGGTTTCTGTATCAAAAACTTAGTGGATGTGACTTAAATGAGAGGTGCTCCGAAACACTTCCTGCACCATTCCACACTGATACTTGGTGGGGCATCAATTTTCTGTAACTTTTCAAGAATTTCTGAAGACAGACTATTATATGCAAGTCCATATTCATTGTCAAACGCCTCTGAAAGACAATTTCAAAAATGAGTTGGAATTTGTTAGTAAAGAAAACAAAAGCCATGGATTTAAAAATGGGTCAAATCATATTTTCTATATACACGCACATTTAAACTGCATTTTGAAAGGGAGTAATCTTTTTGAAGGCAAATGCAGTTTACCCATACAAGTTACAATTTTTTAAAAATTAGAAGATAAAGCTTACTTTAATAATCCCTAATTAACTTACCAATATCAATATTTTCTCTTCCAAGAGACACTAATGATAAGAAGAGGATTTCTCTGTACAAACTCCTATAAAACAAATACATTTTTTAAGTTAATAGGCAAAGAGCATAAAAAAATACATTTTCTTAAAATGGTAAAATTGTTAATGTAGTCCAGTTAACAGTAATTGTATCCATGTCAATGTCCTGGTTTTGATATCCGACAGTTATATGAGATGTCTCCTTTGGGGAAAGTGTACTCTGGACTCTACTATTTTTACAAATTACTGTGAATTTCTCTTGCAAATGAAAAAATTAAAAGTTAACGGTTTCACACCAGTGTCACAAATTATACCTTAAAAGCGAACTTTTTGGCTCGGGAAAATTTAAGAAATGAACTGATTTCTGACTATTTACATAGAAAAAAAAGTAATGCTGATTCGGAGGGTGCTCCATATAGCTTTCTTTAGAAGTTTCAGAAGTGGTAACATCTCTAATAATCCTTCCTTGCCCTTGAACTATACAGATGCTTGAAAAACAGCTGCTCTTTAGACTGAAGGACGTTTTCTCTCTCAATTGTTGAGATTACAAGAGGATCCAGCCATTTTCATTATCAATCCTTGCCCATTATCAATTTCTTTGATGGAATTTATATCCCCCTTTTTGAAGTTTCCACTGCAACATTCACTTAATGCTAATAAGACTTGGATGAAAACAGACCCAAGCATATATTAGCAGACAAGAGTTAATAGGATCAAGATAGCTCCACATCCACTGTAATTGACTGCTTCCTTCCATCACCTTAATTGTTTCTAGTCTGAACCCTGGTTTTTACTTAGTTCCCACAAGAAAATAAAAAAATAATGTATGGACATATGACAGGACCTGAATAAATATTACACATACATAATATCAATATTAAATTAGTGGCAGTGTTTTCCAAAAAGTTCATTTTAGACATGAATGAATTACCTACTAAAATGTATTCCCCAATAAAGATTTATTACCTTTGTTCAAATATGAATGTATACATTTGGGTAGCCCTTTTTAAAATGATCAGATGTTCTACAATGAATCTTTCTTTTACAACTAAGGTATTTAAAAAACAAAATTATTTCAAATGGCATCAAGCAAAAACTACTGGGTTGTTACCTTTGTCTTTTCATGTCTGGCCTCATTTGCTGTGAAAGCAGATTGATGGGTTTAAGAACATCATTATGTTGAATACTCTGCCTGATGGTTTCTACTAAAGTGCTTATTGCTTGTTGTTCCTCTGACAGGAGAGACAATTTCTTTTTTTCAGAATCTAATAATAAGAACAAAGTAATTAATCCATTTATCCACCCTAGTTTTTAAAAAAGTGTTAATATACAATCTTATGTTGATTTCAAATGTACATCACAGTGGTTCAACACTTCCCGTGATCAACTAATATTATGATTGCAAATTATTGTGCCCCTTTACCCACTCCCCTCGCCCCAGCGCTTCCCCTTTGGTAACCACTAATCACTTCTCAGTGTCCATGAGTCTAATGCTGTTTTGTTCATTGTTTTGCTGTTTTTATATTCCACAAATAAGTGAAATCATACAGTATTTGTCTTTCTCAGCCTGGCTTATTTCACTGAGCATGACACCCCTTGGTCCATCTATGTTGCTGCAAATGGCAGGATTTCTTGTCTTTTTAAGGCTGAATAATATTCCATTGTGTTTATGTACCACCTCTTCTTTATCCATTCATCTATTGATGGACACTTAGATTGCTTCCACATCTTGGCTATTGTAAATAGTGCTGCAATAATCATAGGGGTGCATGTATCTTTTCAAATCAGGGATTTTGTGTTCTTGGGGTAAATTCCTAGGAGTGGAATTACTGGATCAAATGGTATTTCTATTTTTAGTTATTTTGAGGACTTTCCATACTGCTTTCCACAGCAGTTGTACCAATTTACATTCCCACCAACATTACTATTTCTCCACATCCTTGACAGCATTTGTTGTTTCTTATCTTTTTGGATAGTGGCATTCTAACGGGTGTGAGGTGGTAACTCATTGTGGTTTTAATCTGCATTTCCCTGATGATTAGTGATGTAGCCCATTATTAAAGAAGTCTTTTTCCACAGTTGCAGCACTTTCTATTCAACATCTTCCCCTGATTAACAAACATGGTAATTTGACCAGCTGAAACATACTTTTCCTGTTTTCTTTGCCCTTTCTCTGAAATTAGAGCTTCCTGCTCCCTGCTGGGATGAAACACATTTTACTCTAGCAGCCACCTTATGACCATGAAGCAATCTTTACTGATGGAAAACAATACAGAATAGAAGGAGCCTGGGTCACTGATGACTGTTGCCTACCAATCCTGGAATAGCTAAGTCATTACTTCTATATGTGAGAAAGTAATATTTACTTGGTTATGCTTCTGTTATTTTCTATTAAATAGAGTATAATCCTAACTGATACAATTATTAAGGATTCTAGAATAGGAACAAACAGTTATACAGAATTGATAGATTACATAAGTACTTCAATGGTATACTGGAATTGAATCATACTAACATTAAAAATGTACAAAATCAATGTGGTTTGCCCAGAAAAAGGAAAACACTTTAATACTGCAGCCATACAAGTTTATCATACCCATGTTAGTTGAGATGGGAATATGTATACAATAGCTCCCCACACAGCCTCATTTTGAATGCCTGTCATAAAGCAAGCTGTTATATTTTTAATACAATACAACCCCTTAATCAAGGCAACTAGTAATACTCTGTATTAAACCAAAGAAATAGCCAAGTTGTCTGTTACAATACAAGAGCAAATACTGGCTACTGTGTGGGTTTCTTTTTGTTCCAGTCAATTATTCATAATTGAGTTAAAATATAAGATGCCACGGTCTTTATTGCATTAAAACATTTTTTGTTTTTAATTGAGACATAATTAACATTAATTTCAGGTATAGAACATACTGATTTGACATATACATTACAAAGTGGTAACCATGATAAGTGTAGTTACTGTTACTATACAAACTTCCTAAAGTATTATTGACCATATTCCCTATGCTGTACTTTTTATACCTGTGCTTTTTTACTTTGTAAATGGAAGTTTTACTTCTTAATCCCCTTCACTTACTTTGCCAATCTCCGACTCCCTTCCCATCCTGCAACAGTCAGGTTGTTCTCTATGAGTCTATTTCTGTCATTTGTTCATTTTATAGTATCCATATGGAAGTGAAATCAGATGGTATTTGTCTTTCTCTGACTGATTTCACAAAGCATAAAACCCTCTAGGGCCAGTCCATGTTGTAGGGAATGTCAATATTTCATTCCTTTTTAAAGATGAGTAATATTCCATTGTGTGTGTATATATATATATATATACCTTATCATCTTTACCTATCATGGACACCTAGGTTGTTTCCGTATCTTGGGTGCTGTAAATAATGCTACAATAAACAGGAATGCATATCCAGAAAAAAATTGCTAAGGCCAGTGTCCAAAAGTTTACTGCCTACATTTTCTCTTAGTGTTACGGTTTCAGGACTTACATTTAGGTCTTTAATCCATTTGAGTGTATTTTTGTGTATGGTGTAAGAAAGTGTTGCATTTTCTCAACACCACTTACTGAAGAGAGACTATCTTTTCCCCACTGTATATTCTTGCCTCTTTTGTCAAAGATTAGTTGAGCATATGAACAAGGGTTTATTTCTGGGTTCTCTATTCTAGTCTACTGATCCACAGGTTTACTTTTTGTGCCAGTAACATAGGGTTTTGAATACTATAGTTTTATAGTATAGTTTGAAATCAGGTATATTTCCAGCTTTGTTCTATCTCAAAATTGCTTTGGTTATTTGGGGTCTTTTGTGGTTCCATATAAATTTTAGAATCACTTGCTCTAGTTCTGTGAAAAATCACATTGGCATTTTGATAGGGATTGCATTGAATCTGTGGATTGTATTAGGTAGTATGAATATTTTAACAATATTTTTCCAACACATGAGCATGGAGTATCTTCCCAATTATTTGTGTCATCCTTAATTTTTTTTTACCAGTGTCTTACTGTTTTCAGACTACAACTGTTCTACCACCTTCATTCGATTTATTCTTAGGTATTTTATTCTTTCTGATGCAATTATAAATGGGACTGTATTCTTCTCTTTCAGCTAGTTCATAATTAGTGAACAGAAATGCAACCAATTTCTGTATATTGATTTTGGATCCTGAAACTTTACCGAATTTATTAGTCCTAATATTAAATTAGGGTTTTCTTATATAGAATCATGTCATCTACAAATATCAACAGTTTTACTTCTTTATCAATTTAGATAACCTTTCTTTCTTTTCCTTGCCTGACCAAATGACTAGAACTTCCAGTGAAGTGATAAATAAACACAGCATGAGTGGGGACTCTTATCTTATTCCTCATCTTAAATGAAAAGCTTTCAGCTGAACGGTGGGTTTGTAATACATGGCCTTTATCATAGTGAGGTATACATTCCCACTTTGTTGAGAGTTTTTATCATGAGTAGATGTTGCGTTTTATCAAATGTTTTTTTCCTTCATCTACTTGACATAATTTTTATGCTTCATTATGCTAATATGGTATATCATATCATGTTGACTGGTTTATAGATACTGAACCATCCTTGCATCCCTGGAATAAATCCCACTTTGTTGTGATGAACGATCCTTTTAATGTATTTTTTAATTTAGTTTGCTAATATTTTGTTAAGGATTTTTGCATTTTTCTTTTTTTGTAGTCTTTGGTTTTGGTGTCAAGGTAATGCTGGCCTTGTACAATGAATTTTGGAAGCTTTTACTCCCCTTCAATCTTCGGGAATAGTTTGAGAAGGATAGGTATTAACTCTTTTTTGGTGTAATGCACCTGAGAAGTCATCTGCTCCTGGACTTTTGTTTGTTGGGAGTTCTTTGAGTACTAATTCAATTTAATTACTAATTCCTATTTCTTCCTGACTCAGTTTTAGTAGATTGTATTCTAGGAATTTATCCATTTCTTGTATGTTGTCCAATTTGTTGATGTATATGTCCTTTATACTGCTTGATGTCAGTTGTATCTTCTCTTTCATTTCTGATTTCGAGCACCCCCTTTTTTTTCTTGAGTCTAGCTAATGGTTTATCAATTTTAACTTTTCAAATAACAAGCCCTTAGATTTCCTGATTTTTTTTTCTATTTTCTCAGTCTCTATTTCATTTACTTCTGCTCTGATCTTTATTGTTTCCTTCATTTTACTAACTTTGGGTTCTTGTTTGTTCTTTTTCTAGTTCCTTTGGGTGTAAGGTTAGAATGTTTGAAATTAATTTTGTTTCTTGAGGTAGGCCTGTATTATTTTAAACTTCCATATGCTGCTTCTGCTGTGTTGCAAAGATTTTGCACCATTATGATTTTATTTTCATTTGTCTCAAGGTATTTTATTTCCTCTGATTTCTTCATTGACTTGTTGTTTACTAGCATGTTGTTTTGACTCCATTGTTTTTTTTCCATTTTTTTCCCCTAACATCCAGTTTTATACTGTTGTCACTGGAAAATGTGCTTGATATGATTTCAATCTTCTTAAGTTCACTGAGACTTGTTCTGTGGCCTAACATTATATATCTTGGAGAGTATTCCACGTGCACTTGAAAGTGTATTTGTCCCTTGAAGGAATTTCTGTATATACGTGTTAAAATCTAGCTGGTCTAATATGTTGTTTAAAGCCACACTGACTTTATTGAATTTCTGTCTGGATGATCTATCCACTGAAGTATCCAGGGTGTTAAAGTCCCCTATTGTAATTGTATTACTATTAATTTCTTCCTATATGTCTTTTAATACTTGTTTCTATATTTAGGTGTTCCTCTGCTTGGGTGCATAGATACTTACAACTGTTACACCCTCTTATTGGGCTTATTCCTTTATCATCATGTAATGCCCTTCTTTGTCTCTTGTTACAGACTTCATTTTAAATTATATTTTATCTGATATAAGTATTGCTATACCTGCTTTTCTCTTCACTTCCATTTGCATGGAGTATCTTTCATCCCTTCATTTTCTGTCTGTGACAGGGTTTGAAGTGAATCTTTTGTAGGCAATATACAGATGGGTTTTCTTTTCTTACTCATTAGTCACTCTGTCTTTTGACTGGAGCATTTAGTCCATTTACACTTAAAATAAAAATTGATAGGTGTACTTATTGCCATTTAATTTGTTTTTTGGTTGTTTTTGTTATACTTGCTCTCTTCCTTTGTGATTTGATATTTTCTTTAGCATTATGCTTGGATTTCTTTTTCTTTATTTTTTTCTGTATCT